TTTACGTGTTGCTTAGTAAAGTGTTTACAGTTCGGAAATTTTGAGCCAAAAAACAGAGATCCCTTTACATTTGTCATAGGTCTACTATTTATAGTAGGTTTAGGTAGAGGCATCGGGATCCGCGTACTACTTTTTGAATAAAGTGGCTTTTTATGGGCGGTTCGAGGCAGGGGGCCCTACGCAAATGATGACAGATCTTGTGGTGTAGGAGAGCTTCTCGTAGGTGCCTTGTCACCTGCTTAAGGAGGTGACGACCTCGGTTCATGTTGTCCTCGGTGGGTGTTGACCTCGGTAATCGTCGGTCACTTCGGTCTTTGGTGGTTCAGACCGGTTCTTTGGTGTAGATCGGTGCGGTTATGATTCATGTCGGTTTAACGGTTAATTGCGCTTAATAAGATGCTCAAAACCTCTTAACAGCGTCTTGCCGAGTTGGATGATAACAGCCTCCTCGCTGGGAAGGAGGAGGGGACGGCGCACTACCGCAGGAATTTATTGTTGTCTCTTTTAAAAACAATCGCAGGTATAGAAAAAAAAATCACCGCATCGACATCCGACTCGATCTATGGGGCTTCTTCATCTACAAATCGGGCCCAGATACCCTCCGGGCGGCGATCTTCTTGCCAAATTTCTTCTCTACGAAATCCTCCTCCCCGCCGCCACGATTCCTTCGCTCTTCCATCGAGTTTTTGTTGATTTTATAGAATTTCACACTAATTCTGAAAAAAAATGGAGAAACAAATAATGAAGTTGAGGACGTGGCCACTTGTAGAGAATTAAGGGCATGATTGTTTATGAAATATTTTGGATATATTTCATCCAAAATATTTCATTTTGGTTAACAATGGTCAAAATTGAAAAAGTAGTGTGGTTAATTATTAGTGGGATTTAAAAAGTATATTAAAATAATATTTAAAATAAAATGATTAAAATTGATTTGATATAAAGTAGGAGATAAATGATTAGAAATGATTGGTAGTTAAAATTATGTGAGTGGATGAATAGTGAATTAAAGATGATGTGATGTGTAAGAATGATTGGTTTGTATTATTTAATAATATGAATAATATTAAAGATAGTGTGAGTGAATTAAAGTTGAGTTAGATTTTGAGTTGATATTTTTTGAGGTGAAATATTTTGTAATCAATCACCCCCTAAGGCTTGAAAAGTGGAGTTAGTTTTATTTGTTTGGTAACTACTCCCAATAAATCAGAATTAATTAATGATAATATATTTATGTTGCCTAATAAATGTTTCGTGTGTTTGCAAATAAACTTGTAAGAATTGGTATATTTGCTAAATGTTATAATTGATAAGTTAGAATGTAAATAAAAGGTTGTAGGGTCGTTCGAGAAGTAATTTCCTCTAAAAGGTATACCCATACAGGCCCGTTATTATCTGTAATGTAACAATAAAAAGTATACCCAATGCCAACCATGTCATGAATTAATTATACAACATTCATTTTCTTTATTAAACTAATGTACTGTTAGGACCAACAACTCAAAACTCAGTTCTCTATCAAATCCAACATACAAGTCCAAGTGGGGTTCCATTCTAAAACCAATTGACAATAGAGGAGTAGCCCACTAAGCTTATATATTGAACTTGAAACCATTAATTTTTTGATGTGAGATTGGATTTGCACACCCTATATATAGAGCATCACTACTCACCAATGACTTTGTCCTTGTCTTAGTTACATTCCTACTTCACGCATTTCTTCCTTTGATTTAAGTCCCGTTTGGATCCCCTTTGGCTAAAGAAATCTGACTAAAATTTAGTCACCAACCGACCTAAAGACCCAAACGCATAGACTAAAATAGGTCTAGAACCCTTTAGAACCTTTAGACGCTTGAGTGTACCTAAAACGGACTAAAATTTTTTTTGGACATCTGTGCCCTCCAGATCTCTCCCCAACCCGCTGCCTTTTTGAACATCTGTGCCCTCCCGATCTCTCCCCAACGCAACCCAGCAGGCCGACGCCGACGCCCACCACGACCTCGCCGGCGCCGACGCCCCACCTCCGGCCACCTGTCCCACGCTGGCTCGTACGCCCCATCTCCGCCCACTTGTCGCGGCCACCAGCCCCCCGGCTCCCACACCAAGCGGCGCCGAAATCCCGCACCCAGCGCCGGCCCAGTCGCCTCCACTCGCCGGCGCCGACTGGCCCCAGCTTCCTGCACCCGTCGCCGCCGCGGACCGCAAGCTTCGGCCACCCGACCGGCCGTCGGAGCCCCGAATCGGCTCAGCTGCCGCCACCCACCGGCGACTCAGATCTGACCTGCCGGCGACGCAACTCTCTCATCCCGGCGTCGGCCGATCTAGCTCCGTCCACGCTGGATCCAGCATGCACGGCAAGGACAAGGGTTCCATGATTTTTTTTCTCAGGGGAGTTCGTCATCTGCGGTTCCCCAATTCCACAATGGCACGGACGACGATGGCGAAGTATTTGGGTACTCGCAGCCG